TCCAGCCTTGCAGTCAGAAATAACTAGAGCTAAAATTAAGTAGCGTTTACCATCTGTTTTTGTAAAAGGCAGAAGCTTGTGGTTAATTTTTTAATAACAAGGCGGTGAATGGTAAAGATTCAAGAGGTGAACTGTGCAGTCGTTGATATCTTCTAAAATTACACTAAAATTATTGAGAGTGAAAGTAGAAAGGATCAAATTGTTGACATCAGCTTGCCCTTTCTTACCAAAAGGAGAAAGCGGGGACATCACTTTTATAGCGCTCCTGCTGACTTTAAAGGCCATTTCATGACTTGTGAGAAATCCTGGAGGGCTCTGGTGGCACTTCCCGCTTCTGCAGCTAATTGCTCCTGTTCTGTGCAGCCTGTGTGTAATCCCGTGCACCGAGACAGCCTGCCTGCCGTACAGATGGAGTGCTCTAGAGCATGTGTGTGTCCGATCCGCTCATTATATTAATTTGTTTGAAAGGCCAGCACGGCTTCCAGTGTGACTAAATCATGCTGACTGCTGACACTGCCAGGAGATTGTTAAGACACCGGAGGGCTGCCAGGAACCCTTGATGCTTTCCTGGGGACTGGTAGAGAAGTGACCTTTTACTTGTGAATTTAAATTTCTGGTTTAGGGAAACATTCAGGGGTTTTGCGGAATGCCTTGGCCGCTAGCCCGTCCCTTGTTACACTTGGACTTGGCTATAGTGCTGGCTGATGGGATACTGAAGCTGCTCAGAGGACTAGTGCTGCCTGTTAATTGAGGATCTGCTCGGAGAGGAGATCTCCAGCTGGAAGGGAGGGAGGCTATAGCAGACATCTGGGAGAAATCATAGCTCCTTCTGCCAGACATCATCTTTCTGTGCCTGTAGTTACACCTGACTTGGCCTGTGTAAAGTTCACAGCTGAATCATGTAGACCATCAGCAAGTTCTGTGTTAAGGCTGTAACCCTTTAGCAGAGTCTGTGTTGTGGCTCAGGGTGGGGGCAAACTCTTTTTATGGGCAGGAGAGCGTTCCCTGGATGCTGGGGCTGCCCGTACGAATTCTGCTGGTGTGGCTGAGGGACACCTCTGCCCTGGCGTGGTGTGGTGTGCTGGCAGGAGCAAACCAGCCATCCCGGGCCAACAGATACAGGCAGAGTTCTGCTGGGACCCGCCTGGACCGAGTGATGCTACTCCAGCCTGTACTCCATTTTCTACCCCCTCCTGTCTTCCTCTGCTGCACGTTTCCTCTGACTGGTCTATGAAATTAAATGATCCGGCTTTAGAGAAAGGTGTTTTACACAGATCTCATTTAGAGCAAAGAACTATGCCAACACAGCCCAGAAAGGTGTTTGCTGTGGGGAAGGGAAGGGTACAGGAAGGGGACCTGTGGATGGGCAGGTGGGGAGCAGGCAGGGAGCAGTAACTCCTCGTGTGGGACCTGCCACGCCTAGAACCTGGTGTGGAAGCGCAACTCTGCTCTTCCAGAAGATCCCCTCCTGTGTGGATGAGTCGTCTGATGTAAGGAGCTGCTGGAAATCTCGCAGCGAAGCCACTGTTGCTGATACAAAGTTAAGGAGGTTGGCGTTTGCCAATCAATTAATATCCATCATCTTTTACTGAACCTTTGGGTTTGGGAAGGCGTGGGCTGAAAGACAGTCTTTGTTGTAAATTTATCAGGTTCTTCTCAGAAATGTGGCTGTTGCTCCATCCTGACTATTATTTAAACTGTCTCCACTTGGTGCTTTGTGGGTTCTCTGTTTTTTTTTTTCCAGCGTTGTGGCTCAGTTTCCTTTTCCTGCTTCTGTTTCTTTGCCCAACAGTGATAAGTGAATAGCCGGGGCAGTGAGCAGGGAAAAAGCCTTTGGTGTTTGTTCAAGCGCAGCATGGAGTGCAGCAGGTGTTGGGAAAAGGCATCCCTGTCCCTGGCGGGAGGGTTGGAATTAGATGATCTTCCAGGTCCCTTCCAACCCGACTCCTTCTGTGATTCCGTGAAACCCGTGTACCTGAGCGTGGTTGCTTCTCTGCTCTGGGAACCTGCGTGTTCCTGGGGCGGGCTGTGGTGGTGGGGAGCCCACCTGCGCTTGGCCCCGGGTGGAGGTGACCTTCTCTGGAAGCTCCTTGCAGAGGAAACGCCATCCTTGGGGCGCTGCTCCCGGGCAGCCCGCGGCAGCACTGGGCTCCCCGCAGAAGCAGCAAGGACAGGGAGGAATTTCTGGCTGGGAGTCCATGGCCAAGCGCTGTGTCCTCCCTCCCCGCCCCCCAGCAGCTGGGAGGCTATCTTAGGGCCTGCTGGTGTCACCGTGCCCGAATTAACGCAGGTTTGGCCGCCCGGAGGTGGCAGCCCCTTTACCCAGTTGCTGCTGCTCCCTCAGCGTTCAGGCGGCCCGCGCGGTTCCTCTGCGACCTGCCGGCGCTGCTGGGCCGGGATGGCAGCGCTCCTCTGTAAGAGGCGCAAAAAAGGAGGTAGGAAACGTGTCTGGAGCAAGGATCCCTCCCGAAGCTCTCTGCCTGGGCCCTGGGGACGGGCTCCCGGGGCTCTGGGAGCTTTCTGCTGCCCCAGCCGCCCTTGGCCGGTGGCGGTGGGAAGGGGTTTGGTCCTGTGGGGTCTGGCCCAGCCCCCCTGGGTCTGAAGGCGAGTGTAAGGGTTTTATGTGGCTCTTTGTGTTGTGAGGGATGGGGGTTTAATACACAAATTCGTATTAATGTTTTCTTTCAGTTTAGCAAAGTGCTCAGAAACAAGGTATTTTTGTTAGGAAGAGTGGGGTTGTTTTTATATTTAAAAAAAAAAAAAGCCTGTGTATCATCTTAATTGAACTTCTGGGAATAAAACTAGTTTAGCTGCATTTAAAAGTATTCTGGCTTGAAACGTATGCAGCGTTTTGTTTATATCATACACTGCAGAGGGTCCCATGTGTTCCCTACCCAGAGGACCTTGGCAGCACTCGGAGCGTGAGGAGCAGCGATGCCCTGACCTCGCTGAACGCTTGGCGCTCCCCGAGTGCCAGCAGTGCTGTGGTGATGAAGGGACAGTGACATCCAGGAGCAAGGCTGGTACTTCCAAAAGGAGTCTGATTTAAGTGGAATTGGGGCATTTATGCTCCTAGCAGGGTTTTAAAAACCTTCCTTGCAATGTCGAGTTTCCACAGGATTTTTCTTGTGCCTCCTGGTGGCTGTATCCCTCTTGGCACCCAGCGGAGGAGCTGCCGGGTGAGGAAGCTCTAGGTGGGTGCAGATGCCAGCAGGGCTGGGTCAGGCGGGCTCTTAGAGCTGCACGGGGGCTCTTCGCTCCCTGGCTTTTCTTTGGCAAGTTTTCCAAGCACATGAGAATGAGTGCAGAAAAGGGGTAATTACGAGTTTCTTTACTAACGACATTTCTTCAGAAGGTTAAATCTCAGCCTGCAGACATTGCGTTCTGTTTGCAGCGTCAGTGCTGTTCTCTTCCCTTCCCATTGCAGAAGGTCCGCAACCCAGAACTGGGTTTACTGTTGGCAGCCCCCCTTCCCCCAGGCTTTGTGCCGCCTTAGCTCTAAGCAGCTGCTCTGTCGTGGTTCCTGAGCCATGAAGTCTCCAAATAGGAGACCCGTGTTGGTTGCTCGCAGAACATAAGAACGGCATTTCCTATTGAGGATTTTAGTCATGTTCAGTATCATGCTGTGAACCAGAATTAACTAATGTCTTGGAACTGCGATTAAGAAATGTGGTGACTTGTTTTAAGCACCTGTTTCAGGTTTCCCTAGGAGAAGGGGCGGGGATGGTAGTGTCGTCTTCTTCCCTGTCCTCCTCTGGGGCAGCAGGATCTCTGTATTGTGCCCTGCTATCAAGCAGGAAAAAAGCAAGTGCTGATACAGGATTTTGTAACCTTTGCAGACTGCATGCAAATGATTAGTCTGTGGTTTGATTTTCCAGTGGGAAAGGGGAGTAGTGGTTGTCCTTGAAAGAAGTGCTTGTTGGGATGTGTGACTATTAGTTAACTGTTTCTCCTTTTCCTTCCTCAGAAAAATGTGTCTAGCAGACCTTTTTTTATTTTAAAGTCCTTGCTTTTCCCTGAAAAGACTACGGGACTTGGACCAAGGAGACTGCAGTACCACAAATGCTGCCACAAATTATCTTAGCCTGTGCTAGCACAGAACTGTCACTGGGTGGATGGGGCTGTTCTGTGTCTTTGTTCTCCTCTGTCAAATGCATGTATTTCAATAGCTTGGCTTATAATAAATAAAATCTGAGTTTAGGGGGAGATGTGCTTTGGGAAGTGTAAAAGTGTTAGAGCACTGCTAGTGCTTTTCTTTCTGTCGGGCTCTGTGAAGATAGTAAAGAACTATTCAATACTTGTCCTCAAGTTCAGTTCTTCCCCTGTGGCAGGGCACAGGGAAGTATTTTAATATCCGTTTTATTGTTGAAGGGTACTTTACTGACTTTCCCAAATGAGAGTTGTATGTAGGCTTAGGACAAGAGCTTGAAATCTCAAATTCCAGATTTGTCTTCACCAGATCATGCTACATCTATTTTTAGCCAGCAGCAGTGCTAGAATTAAATATATTTTGGTCTTTATTTGGTGGGTCTCGCCAGGCTTCTCTGCGACTTTTAATAAGGCCGGTAGCGAGCTGCAGTTCCTGGTGTTGTGCAGCTGGAAAAGGTGGTGAGGAGTGGTGGTCGTGCTGTCAGAAAAGGAGCTTGTTTTCAGTGTTCTGTCTGCTCTGGGTCTGCGCCGTCCTGCAGAGAAAGCTCACACCCCTTCCTTCAGGAGAAACAAGCTCTCTGAGGTTGCTCTGACCACAGAATTGGGTTTCTTGCAAAATGTTTTCAGCCAGTTGTGTGGTGGCTCAGTGTAATAAGAAGCTATAAAAGGATGTTACTTTGATTTTATTTTCCACTGTGGCTGCAGTTCTTAATTCCATAAACTGTGGGCTCATTTTGAAATGGATCTACCAGATGTTTTCTCTTACTGTGAATACCCTCTGCAACCCCTACATGTCTGCAAACTTTGCATTTATTACAGTCTTTTTTCTCTGTTTTTTTCTCTCTATTCAGTGAGTGACCTCCAAGAAGAAGGTAAAAATGCTATCAATGCACCGATGAACCCGAGCACCGTGGACATCCATCCAGAAGACACACTATTAGGTAAAGTATTCACACTACAGCCCTCCACTAAGTGATTGTTGATGAAGGTGGCCACTGTGAGCCCCATATCCATTGCTTTGCTGTTGAATGTCGATGGCTCAGTTGCGACTGAGAGAACTGGGCACGAGAATTGAGAACTGTTGCGTGTCACATGCAGACTAGAAATGGGGAGGGCTAAAATGGAATTTAAAGAGCAGTGCCCGCTATGCAGGTACACTTAAACTAGGTGCTTTGTGGGAAAATGGACTTGTTCAGTGAATTGGCAGATAACTTGAGTTTTTCTGTGATCATCCTGAAGGTAGAAAGTTGAGGTGTGCAAAGAATTAGATGGGAAATACTGATTAAGATTTATTTCGGTTCCCTTAACCGGTTGTCCAAGTGCATGACAGACATCGTTCTTTGGTAAGAGAGTGGTATTTTCTCTCGTATACACTGAAGTGCAGGAGGACCAGCCCATGGCAAGTCTGTAGCAGAAGCACGTGTCATGGTTCCTGTGGAACCCTTAGGCTCCCTTGTCTCAGCCTGCACACCACGCTGCTGTTCACTGGTGGATGCCCTGTTCCTCCTCGGGCTCCTGCTGCCGCTTTCCAAGTGACAGTACAGCAAAATGGGACCCCGTACTGAGTGAACAGATGAGCATTTAGGTGGCTGAAAATACTAATTAAATGTGATTAGGACAGAAGCATGTAAAGCAAGCAGTAAAGCTTTGTAGAAAGAAGGTAAATATTCAAATTCCCGTTCACTCCCTCCCCTCTCGAGTCTCTACAAGAGCAACAGCATAATGTGATAGCAAAAAGTATTTAAAACTTGTTGGAATAAAACACTTTTTTTCTTTCCTGCCCATATGTTTCTTAATCTACAGAATTAGCTGAAGCAAGCTGTTATAGAGACAAATAATAAACCGTAAATGAAAAACAAAACAGTGTTAGTCATTTAGATTTTTTTAATTAGAAGAGCAGTAGGAAATGCAAAGTACTGTTCTTCTGAGATGTGGGCAAAGTGTTGATTGTTCTGTGAATATGTATGGAGCAGGAGTGTCTCCAACAATTTCCTCTAGGTACCGCTTGTGTAAGACTTGAAGATGCAGGACCTCTCCTGCAGGCCTGCCACGCAAAGACATGAGCAGTGGTGAACCTTCAGCGAGGTTCTGTGGTGAATCCTCTGCCATTATGGGTCAAATCTTGCTCAGGGTTTCAGTTAGCAGTGTTTTGGGTGTGTAGGGGGTATCACTTCCTTACAGCCAGACAGCCTGACTCATCCTCAGGGGTAATGATGAAGTAAAGGAACAGGGGGAAGAAAAAGCAGCAAAAGAATTCATGGGTTTTCATAGGCTTGTGGAAATTTGTCAAGTATGGTCAGAGAGCAGGGTCTTAATTTTTCCGTAAAGATGAGGGGCCCCGGGAAATACTGAACCCAAATCTCTGGGTGGGTAAGGTAGTGACTTTGCTGGTGTTGTGTCTTGTGCCTGGGGTGTGCAAGTGTGGTGTTTCCAGCCGCGGGCAGGGAGGGCTGGGGCTGCGAGAGGAGCCTTCCCCTCTCGGGGTCGCTGTTGGGTTCTGACGGCTTCCCCTGGGCAGCGTGGCACCGGCCTGACCAGTGCCCATACCAAAACCCCTCCTTTGGCATGCTGGAAGGAATTCAGAAATCAGTAGGGAAATGGGATTCCATACGGCCTGTCTAGACTCAGCTAAAAATAAATCCATGGGGCTTATTTTATTTATAAGCCCCATGTGACACCATCACCCATCGTTGCATTCCTGTTGTGTAGCAGCCTGGGTTTGCTCTCTGCTGACAGGATCTAGGTCACAGCTACCACCTGGCTCCTAAAGGGACTAAAATCAAGGGTGCAGGGAGAGGTCAACTACTTGAAAGCAAGCACCAGTGTTTAAAATAGGAGACTTGCTCAAGCTGCTTCCGAAATACTGGTATCCATATCTACGCCTGCGTGCAAACGTATGTGTGAACCTGTGTCCGTGTGTGCTGCTGTGAAGAGAATTCTGCCAAAGGTTGTTTGGCCTTCAGCCTTACTGAGCTCAAGCTGATTTTGCTACCAGTATTTCCATATCAAATTATCCCTTCTGAAAATTAATCTTTATATTTGTGTCTCATGTGGTGGTCCCGCTGGCCGTTGGAGAGCATTTCTCCCATCTCTCCATTTCCCAGCAACAGAAGAAATGGAAAACTTTGCACCCGAGAAATCTATTTTATGTTCTTCCCCCACGCTCAAGTACAGCTGATATAAATTGGGGTAATTTTCCTTCTCCAGCTTCACCAGAGGTTGAGGAGTTCACGCACGCAGCACCACGTGCTGACCAAGTTTCAGGGTAGCCGAGACACAAACTCAGGTCTCAGCAGCTGCGCCGAGTGTGGCGCCGTAAGCTGGCTGTGCTCCTCAGGATGGTGTCACTTGGGACAGGTGCTTTCACATAGAAATGAAATACAAATTGAGGAGAAGGGGAAAAGTAGTTGCACTTTTGGGTGTGTTGTTATTAATATGCCCCACAGGGTGGAGAGGATGGTCATTTCCCTGAAGTGTTCTGCATACAGCAAGGTTTGAGCTGGGGAAGGCCAGTGGAAACTCTTTTAGGGTAGTTAGGGCTGTGTTATCTTTCTGTGTGCCTCTAGACATGACTAACGCTTTGACCCTTGGGTGTTGCCTTGCTGACAGATAGGCACTGTCATTTCTCGATCAGCTGACAGGCCACTTCATGATTAGGAATTGTTGCCAGTATTTCAGCGCTGTACAGATGATCTCACTGAACTTTCCCATTTTACTTGGACAGAGGAGAATGAGGAACGCACTATGATTGATCCTAACTCAAAAGAAGACCCCAAGTTCAAAGAACTGATCAAGGTAGGAAATGGCTGTTTTGTCCTTTTTCAAATGTTTAACTAGCGAGCCGGGATCATTCACAAGCTGGTTACCAAGAACACAGCCGAGCAATAACAACTTGTTACTGAGGTGTGGCTGTGAAAAGTGAGGTCGGCAACGAGGTAAGGCTAAAAGCAACTGTCAGAGAAACAAGAACAGGCTGAATGTCAAGGTGCTGCTGGTGGTAGTTAGGGAGTAAAGCTCCATCCTCCGTTTCCATCCCAGCGAGGCTCAGTGCTTGAATCTACCTGCAGTCGCTGCACGGAAACCTAGGAGCTGTGGGAAGCACCAGTAAGGTTCCAGGAGAAGGAGTAGGGCTGAAGTGAGCCAAGGCATGGCAGGGGGCAGCGAGAAGACCTCTAATGTTACAAGAAAGTTGGAACTGACATTCTTCATGCCCTGTATTCTGTTGTTGGTTGTTTTCTAAAGAAAAGTTCTCAGTTTACCTGGGTGCTGGGGCAGGGGCCAGCTTGTCCTGAATCCGTGTTGTCGCTGGAGGCACCTGCCCGAGGTGTTGGTAGTGGTGTTCCCAGCTGTGCGGTGAGAAGTGGGGCTTCCTGCCTCGGCAGCGCTCACCGTTCCTGCCAGGTGTGGTGGGGGATTTGATCCTGAGGGAGAGCGTTCAGGAGAGCCTTCGCTGTGCAGTGAAGTCCTTGAGGTTAACCTAGTGATAGCTGGAGCAGGAACAGAAGGCGTGATGGTTCTGAACAAATGTGGTCTCTTTCCAAAAAGAATTTCTTTTCGTGTTACACTTCCCACTACACTTCCTCTTTATTATTTTAGAATTATTTTTAGAAATTATTTTTGTCAGAAACAGCAATGCAGCTGTAGCTGGGTGAGTATGACAACTTTGCATAGTGTATATATACCATCTCCAGACGGGGGCTGAACTGTGGTGCATTCCTGCCAGGAAACCCTTGGCTGCGCACACAAGCTTCACAGGGTGCCTCAGCGAACTGCTCACCTGGTACATCTCTAAAACAAGCCCAGGGATCTGTCATTAACATTGCAATAACGTGTTCAGGATTACAAACCCACATCAAACTGAGTTTAGCAAGGAGCTGTGCTCACATTTCTGTGGTATTCTCATTCACCTGGAATACCTTGTGGGTTTAAATTAAGTAAATTTGCACATTCTTTGTTAGTGCCTAAATCCATTAATTCTCTCAAAAGGTGGAGAGGTCTTGCACCACTCTCTCAAAATGTCCTGTGGTTTCTTTGCAAGTGGAGCAGTGATATTGCCATGAATAATTCAGCTGAACCAGAGTACTCTCAGTGAAGGATCCAGACACACTCTGTGACGCAGGAGACTCAAGACTGAGATCAGAAGTGCTTTTAAATTGGGAATTTTGCTGTTGAATTTAATACAGGTTGGTGAGTCTTCTCTGGATGTCGTAGATTGGCAAGGTTATATTTTCCAGTTTGGAAAATGGAAAACCTTGAGGAGGAATGGAAATCAGGTGTAGAGCAGTGCTCCGGAGTGTGTGTGAGTGCTCCCGGCGGCTGCAGCGCCGGGCTCTGGCTCACCACAGCCCTGTCCACCTGCGGGAAGAGAGGTAATGTAGTCCAGTTGAACTGGGGCAGCTGGTGCAGGAACAGCATGGAACTGGAGACTGTTTCCTTGGGATCATTCTCAGGGGAGAGATGGGTCCTGTAGAGTGCCTACTTGAAAATGCTGTAATTTAGGTAATTGCTAATCATTTGCATACCTCTCAGCAATTGAGAGGTTTTACAGAGGTTCAGCTGGAGAAATATTTAACGCTATGTTGGTGTGAATCTGTAAGGCAGGAAGAGGTTGGAATTATGTTGAGAAACCCTATTTTGTGCCACAGAGTTTGGATAATGGAAAAAAAGCCAAGAGCAGTTTATTCCTTGTTTTCTGTTCTTCCGTGGTTGGTGACATTTTCCAAGAGCCCGGGTGCTGTGCGAAGCAGCCAGCAGGAAAGCTGCCTGCCCCACGGAGCTTGAAATGGGAGATCTCCACGGACTAGCAAGGAGTGAGGAGTTGAATAGATGGAGGCTTTCATAGTTCCAAGTGGTTCTCGCTCTCTTCCCCTCAGAGAGGAAGGTGTCAGTAGCAGCAATAGAGCCTTCTGAAATTTGGCAGTAGGACCCAGTTCCGTTGGTGCCAGCCCAAATCTCTTTCAGCCCCAGGGTTAGACACGCCAGTGCTTTGCCATCCTTCATTTTGGGGGTTTCTGCTCTGTCAGGCACATGCAGTTGGGTAAATGGGGCTCAGTGCAGAGCAGCAGCAGAGATGCGTGTTGCTGACACTGCCTCAGTATCTCTTTGTCTCCACAAAACGTTGTTTTAATTTCTGCTAGCCTCACGCCATAGGCATCCTGCGCATAGTGGATTGATCAGTGGAAGCTTGTGTGAGCATTTGGAAGAGGTTTTAACAGAGCCATTGTAACTCTGAAGAGACATTGTATAGCGGTGTGGTAACACAGACCAACAGAGAAAAAAAAAAAAACCCAGCAAAAAGCCACATTCATCACTCTTCCTAAAGCAGATATACAGTGAATCCCTTTGTTGAAGGCTGCTTAGCTGGGAGTGGTAAAATGCCTGCTTAAAGTCCTCTTGCACATATGAAAATCATCAGGGACTAGAATTATGCCCCAGGGTGTTTGTTATCATCATGGACTGGTTACTAAGAATAGTGGGCCACAATTCGTCCGTATGAAGTGTTCAGCTCAGTTCCCTCTGTGGCCAGCAGCCTTTTTTTCCTCACTTCGTTTGCTCTGCGTGTAATCAAACACAGTTTGGGACATGGGTGAACAGACCTAAAGCTGAGCATTCAGATCAGGGAAAGTGAGATGAGTTAAAATTTTATTTATAATATATATGTGTAAATAATTTATTCACAAAATAATCTCTTTCTGGTGTCTGAAACGAGTGAGCTTCTTTGACTTATTACCCAGTATGACTCACTTAAGCATTTGAATTATAAATTTGGTCTGTTTCCTGAATTTCTTCTTGTATACTTCAGAGTCAGGTTTCTAGATCATATATTATTGTGAATCTGTTTAAAATTCAGTTTCCATTAAAGTTCCCCTAGTGGGTCCACATAAAGAGTGTTTGGGGGTGGTTCTAGCTCTATTTTGTGGGGGTTCTTCTGGCTCTATTTTGAATACTTAATTAAAAAAAAAAGAGGCTGATATATTTGTGCTTTCCTTTCCTTGTTGTTCAGGTCTGTTCCTTTGTGTATTGGAGGTAAAGGTGGAAGAAATCTTTCTTCCCCTTTCTGGTTCAGATGTGGCTGAAGGGTAAAGTTTCCAAAGCTTCATTGCTGGTTGTCATCCTAAACAGAATTAGAGTTAATAGCCTGTAGGAATTGAGTCAGAGACTTTGATATTTTAACCTTTCACATAAGTGGCAGACTTCATAGGGGTTTTCTCATGTATTTTGGGTAGGAAAAATATGAAGAAGAGCTTCTACTAATTGAATCCAAAATTTTAGAACAGCAGCTTGCAAGGACTGGGTCCTGTCTGAAGGTGCCTTGCCTTGGTGAGAGACGTGATGGCTGCAAGATGCTTTCCCTCCCTGCAAAGGCTTCTGTGACACTGACTGATGCTGCAACAACTTTGGGCCTTTAAAGCCTCACCTAAACTTAATACAGATCCAAACACTGCTGCTCTAGATCCTGCCTGAGACGAGTAAACATTCTCTTCGGTAGTAAATCATTCACTGTCCTAGAAATTGCCGTCTTTTTCCATGTCTAATTTTATGGCTTTTTTAAATTCACCGTGGTGAGGAGAAAACCGAAATGAAGGCACTGTCCTTTTGGGCAGGTTTCACGCGTGACCGGATGAAACTCTGCTCCCAAAATGCTGCCTGGGCTGCTTTTGAAACCCAGAAGCTTTCTCTTTAGGGGCTGCCAGTGCTCTGTGCTTAATCAGTAGTTTCCAGGCCTGAATATGAATTTTTAATATTAATTTTCATGCTCAGCCCTGAAGCCAGCGAAGGTTGCATACCTTTGATCTCTTCCTAATTTTCCCAGGAGTCGGGAGGGGGAAAAGGGTCCTTGAAATCAGGGTTTTCTCTGCTGGTTTTGGTGACTGGGCTTCCTGTTTTCCCACTGTGCCAGATGTGTTCGTGTGTTTTGTCTTGGTTTTCATTTTGCTCCTTACTGTATACTGGTGACTGTGGGGTCCTTATGCCCTTGAACTCTGCTGATTAACTCTGAATGTGCCAGCCTGGGGGTCGCTTCACCGAGTGGGAGAAGTTTGCTGTAAAAACCCATTTTGCATGAGCTAAAAACCCAGACTGGCCGGGCAGACCCGTTTTTCCTTCTAGATTTCTCGCACTCTCGTGTTTCAGCTGTCTGCCTCGTGGTGCATTTCAGTTTTCAGCCCAGCGTTCAGCAATGTAACATGCCTCGCTTAACCAGACATATGCATTTGTCCTAGAAATGATACAATAAGTGGATTGTATCGGAATTTAAAACACTGCTGGAAATTTTACAACTATGAACGCATGTGTCTGAGCATTTGATGCGGTTCAGAAGTGTTTTATGTGAGTGGGGATATGCATGAAAGGGCAGGCATGGTTTTGAGGGTGTGGGGTTATCGTATTAAAGTTTTAAAATCACGCTGCCGATCCCAGATACTACAGAAGTCTCGAGAAAAGCAGGTTTTTATGAAGGTGTGACAAGTTAAGTGGCCTAACAAACATTTTCATGTACCCGCATGCTGGTTTGGGAGTCTCCGAGCGCTGAACGAGAGGATGTCTCGGGGGTGGTGAAGGTCCTTACCTGCGTGTGGGACCCTGGGATGGCTTCAGCGGCGTTGGTGTAAGGCGAGGCAGGGTGTCAGGGCTGAGCCTGGCAGAGCAGCTGCGCAGCGAAGCCCTTCCTACACCCGTTACTTAACCCAGCTTAAAGTGCATGGAACTGCAGATGGGTGAGCTGCAGGCACGGAACTGGGAGACCAGGTAGACTGACGTTCAGTGTATTTCCAGGCACAGGAGAAGCTCCTGTCTGCACCTTCCGTCTGCTTCCCACCCGGAGCCCTGTGCCCACGTCAAGCCATTTAAATTTTTGGACATTCTGGTTATTGAATATTGTCTGCTTCTGTCTTTGCATGAAGGAGCAACTGAAGAGAACTGGAGAGCTGACTTTCTGTGAGCAGAGAGTCAGAAAGTATTTCTGCGTGTTCGTCATTTCAATAAGCAATATGGTTCTTTATTTCCCTTGTAAAAGTTTTTTAAAAAAACCCTCTGTGCAGAAAGATTTTATTTTTCCCAGGCTCCTAATTAGGAAATCAAGAGGTGGGACCGCAGATTTTTGGAGTTTGGTTGGATTTTAAATTCAGCACTTGCCAGTCTTCAAGGGCTGTTAAAAAAAAACCACTTGGATTTTATAAATTGCAATTTCTTTTCTTTCTAGGAGTTGTAGTCTTAATACTAATGAAGTTATGCTGTTCTTCCTGATCTTTTTCTTTCATTCAGGTGTCAATCTACAAAAATAATAAAGTAACTATGGCTAGACCTTGTTTAATTTCTATCTCTTTTAGATACTTCTTTTGACAAAAGTGTTTCACTGCTAAATTTCCCTGAAAAGTTAAGTAGCAGGTAGTGTAAGTATTTCCCTCTTTTCACACCCTGCACCCAAAGCCACTTTGTGTTTCCCATGTACCCACACTCTTGGAAATGGGATGTTGGCTCCTACCTTAGAGGATACTTCCAGACTGTTATTTTTAATACCTTGGCATTTCCTAAATTCTGACTTCAATACCATTCAGCACAGGACAGGCAAAATAAAATGTTTATTAATGGTTTCAAATAGTTCAGCCTCCTGAGTCTCCCTTTAACAGAGCTTCTGAGGACTTCTGGAAAGCTGGCCTCTTCCTGTAGGGACTGTAAAGGAATCTGATTATCAAATGATCATTTCAGCTGGACTTCACATAATTTTTGAAAATCTGCTCTGTAAATCTCATGGAAGAACTAAATCTTCTAAGGCTTTGGTTTCTTCAGTTGTTTTTCTGTTGATGTCTGTGTGGATTGTTTTGGAACCGGGCAGTCACATTACTGATGGGCTTTGAAAACCTCTTTCTAGATGATCTGGGACGAGAAAGTGTCTTGTTATTTAGGACTTGCTTTTCTGTCTCCCTGGTGAACAGTTCTTGAGGTGACAGTTGGTGTATCTCTTCTCATTGCCTTCCAGCTGTGATAATCCTTTGGTAACTTGTCTAATGTGTCTTTCCAGCCCTTTTCTGTTAATGTTGTATCCCCTGAAAAAGATTGGAAGAGACAAGGACCAGTGAAGTGGAGTTTTCTCCCCAAATGGGGTCGTGGTTCCCCACCTGCAGGGCAAAGCTCTGCTGACTGTTTTACTGAGGCTGCATCTTCTTGCGTTTAACTCTTGCTGGCTCTGATCTCTGAGGAGCTAATACGGGTTGGGTTTTTCAGAGGAAATCTAAAGGTTTGATGCCCTATGCCTGATGATAGCTGACACGGTTTTATGGAAACCCTAGCTTGAAATCTAGAGGAGAAGGACTGGGCAGGGAGAGTTTACCTGATCCAGAGGCTGCTGAAGAGGCTTCCTGAGAACTGCTAGAGGGTGAAACGCAGGAAGAGCGATTGTCTTGTGAAAGGGCTCAAACAAATGAATTTCTGACAATTAGTAAGACTAAACTGCGAAGTCTGAAGGCTTTGCTTCTGCTTTGCTTCATTTTGTTTCAGAGCTTTGCTTGTGTTTTGCTTCACCTGTTCCTCAAGGACTCCTCAGCTGTTTCCCCAGGCCTCTTTCTCTGCTTAGACAAGGTCAGACAACACTCCCTACGGCAATCACTGGGAGCAGACTCAAGGCCTTCAGTGGGCACTCGGGCAACTCCTAGAACGGGCAAACTAAGAGAAGGGGCACTCGAACTGAAGGACACAGAGAGCCTGTTCCAGGGAGGGTGCTTCTGCTGGTTTCGGAAGGAGGCGCCTGGACGGCACTGCACAGCGCCTGCTCTGGGGAGAGGGTCCGCTGGCGACCGCCGGGAGGAAGACTGCTTACTTCTGCCCTCCGCCTCCAAAGACCCTCCCTCTATTTTCACTGCGCCTGCTCGGGCTATGTAAATGAATTCTGGGAGCTCATTATCATAAGACACCCCTTTCCGGGAAATCTGATGAATAGGTATGATTTGTGTGTGGGAACTGATGTCCCTTGCTAATCCTCGGGAGCCCTCGTGGTGGAGAATCCCCAGGGTGACCCCAGAGCTGCTCGTGAAGAATACCTGCTGAACAGTGAAAAAACTTTACTGCTGAGGCAATTTCTTTGTTTCACTTGACATTTTCCTCTGCCCATAGGTGAGATATATATAGGTATGTCAGGCTATGTGAGACAGAAGCAGGATGGTTTCCAGGGCATGTTGGAGCACGTGTCAGCAGACGGGCTTCCCAGCACTGCTCCTGTGCTGGGGGTCGCCGGTGTGCCCGTGGCCTGGGCTCTCAGTTCACTGGCAGCACGAGCCATGAAGGTGTTGCAGGAGGGAAATGTGAGGCAGGGGAAGGAGAGGGAGAAACCGTGTGATGCTCCTGCCCAACAGCGGCGTTGGCTGTACATGAGTGTGGGGCGACTCGGCGAGGTGTGCTGGGACAGGGGGGTGGCTGTGACTGCCCAGCACAGGCCTCTGGGAGCAGGAATGGCCCCAGGAGACGGGGGGGAGCAGCGGGGCAGCACCAGTGCAGGGCACATCCCTCTGTGTCCACATCCCTCTGCAAACATCGCCCCCACTCTTCCTTACCTGCTCTGGGGAAGGTGCTTCTGATACAGGATGCTGCTGCTGACTAGTGAATAACTTTCCAGAAAAGCTTCATTTTGGAAGAAACATTTTTAGAGGAGTCACTTCTGATATTTTTCATCCCCCTGGGCAGCTCAGAGGGCAGAAGTGATTTACACACACGAGCACTGATGCTGATCCTTGCTTTCCATGAATAGACTTGTTGCCGTATCACCCAGCTAAAACTTGTCATTGACCCAATTTTTAGAGCTGAGTTTCAGCCCTGCACGTTTTCAGCGTGCTTTGGAAGGACTAAAGGTATGGATCAGAGGTACATGAAGCATTAGTATTTCATGTTTGGGTTGTCGGCTTCTTTGTGGACACTGAGCCTAGCAAAGCTCACGTGAGGCTGGTGGATTCAGTGACCCTCGGTAGCCAGGCTGAAGTACTGAACTCTCCTTGTGACCAGCGTAATCAAATACTCGTGTTTCCTGGGAGTGCCGAGGTGGGTGTTTTCCAGTGCAAGCTTGTCTGTGTTTTGTTTATTTGGTTTTGTTTCACAGTCTCATGTGTATTAAAGCCCCAAAACATTCTTAACCATCATCAGTGCTGAGAAGAGGCAGGAGTATGGGATCTAATCAGAAAGTGAATGTAAAGAATCCACAATTTTATTTGAAGCAGGTTAAAAACTACAGCATTTGTAAATGAGTCTCACTGCTTTAGGTGGCTCTAGTTAATGGATTTTGCAGGTTTATGATTGGCAGTACTCTTCTCCTCTCACAGAATCAAGGATTTAGCAGGGTTTAACACTGTGTCTCTTCCCACAGAACTATTATTATTTTTGTGAAGGTGATTTAATTTTCCAAATAATACGTTGGAGGAAGGCACTACTGCCATCTTCAAACAGGCAGGGCTGTTTTTCCTGTAACTGTTTGGAAATTATTATCTTTGGCACCTGGAAAACTTAACTCAGTTCTTTTCCTTTTTAAAGGTTCCTTATGTTCATTCCTGTATTGCAGGTGACTGGCTGATTTTTGTAGTTACGGTAGTCAGCATATGGGGACTATTATATATGTTGTAGAGTGGTTATCAGGCCCATTTGACCAAAATTTTCATTCCAGACTTCTGTATTCTGCAATCACTTAAGATAAAATGCCTTGTCTTGTTGCTAATGGCAGGGATCTACCTCGTGGGTCTCTTTAGCTCCTGTTAGTAGAAGCGTTCCCTTTCCCCTCCGAAACTCTTCTTTCTGGCACACCACTCACATCTATGCAGGGCAGAGATTGTGGTGGGAGCGTGGCACTGTTGTCATCTCTTGGCAGGTCTGCTCTTCACATGAAACAGGTAACACATGAGTTTCGGGACCTGGAGAACATAGATAGCAGCAAGGTTATTGTTGCTGAGCTGCTAGTTGCTACTTGCTTTGGATGGGTGCAATAAGGAGACATTTTAATGAGGAAAAATAAGAGGGCCCTAGAATTGCCATGCTGCAAGACCTGAATTAAAAACAATAGAGCAAAAGCATCTCTTTGTGTTATTTCTCTGCGTCTTGGAAATATGTTATAAAATAACCATAAATATGTTATAAAATAAACCATAAATATGGCTACTCCTGCTCTGGTTTATATTCCTGATTGCTGCCTTGAATGGAAATAACGTATTTCGGTGTTTTTTAGACATTTGCCTCCTTTTTCTATATTTCCAGGTTCTAATTGACTGGATTAACGATGTGCTGGTGGAGGAGAGAATCATTGTCAAACAGCTTGAAGAGGACCTTTATGATGGGCAGGTGCTGCAGAAGCTGCTGGGTGAGTTCACACTAGAGGAGGCGGCCGCAAAGATGGGAAGGGGCCCAAAGTTAATCTCCTCCAAAGCTGCAGGCAGCAGGTTGGTCTGTGCAAGATCTCACCAGGCACCGATAGCTCCAGCGTCGGCTTCTCCCGTCTGTTCTCCTCGGGCTGTCTGCTGAAGGGGGAGGAAGGCCAGGTGGTTCCTAGGTACCTGTTCCATGGACCAAATATAGTCCAGAGAGCTGAAATATGTGGCAGAAAAAAAGGTGAAGAGATCAGTCCTTACAGCGGGGGACCCAACAGAAGCCACGTGGTCCAAAATTTTGTCTGTCTGGTTTGCTTTGGAAAGCATTCAGGCTGGGAGGTTTTTTAAGGTCCTGATAGAGTTACTATAGAAAAATAAGAAAAAGAGAATGCGTGGCACCAGGCACATACTCATAATGCGTGTTTATGTGCGAATGATTCACGGAAGGGTACACTCTGTTAAGCAATTGCAATTTTGCAACCCCCTCAGATCTTTGCAATGTGGTGTTTATGCCGGACACAATGGAGAAAGCCTTCGGATGATGCAGTGATTTATGGGGGTGCTTTGAGCAAACAGAGAGGCTCGAAGCTTCAAGTGCCATTGTAAAGCCACACTGTTTCTTGGAGACGGATAGTCTGCTCTCAGTTTACTCTGACATCTTTTCAAGAGAGGGCTGGGGTGGGGGACCTCGTGGTGCTGATTCTGCTGGTGCTGACGGGCTGCTTACTGAATTTTCTGCATCTACCCTTTAAAGAACAGGTCTGCAGCTTTTGGGGAAGAGTCGCGCGCTTTTCAAATTGGTTAACAACGATTAACTCTGCGTGCAATTAAATCCTTGCAGACTAGAACAGGAGTACTTTTCACACTGCTTGGTTCAGGTGCAGCCGGAACCCTCCCGACAGGGTGCGGAGTTCATTTTAGTTGGGGAGATTTGTGTGAATCCAGCGGTGCTCTGGACACGCAGACACTGCTGTCCCCGCAGGCGGGAGCGCAGGTCACTGCGGCCAGTTGGCCCGGGCGTCACCGCTTCCTTCTGCTCCTGTCCCACCCTCGGGCCCGCGGAAGGCGCCCAGCTGCGCACACCCCTGCGCGGAGCTCAGCGGGGCTCAGTGTGGCTCACAGGAGGGAGGCTGGGCATGTACATCTTGCAGCTTGAGAGCTGACTTGGACTGGTTTTTCCTCATTTTCTTCCTGCTGGGCCTCTGATTAGAGAGCAAATGCTTCTCCCCTGACCTGAGGCTATCACAGCTCGGCCCTAATCTTAAGGTTTTTCTTCAGTGGTGTCCTGGTTTCTTCAGCAAGGCTTTGTATTACTGAATCTGTTCAGCTTGGTTTCTCCAGCAAGACTTGTATTACCACACGTATCCATCATCGTGCTGTCTCACTGATGCAAGAGGCAAAGCCTGTGGTGCTCGTGGTGGTGCTCCTGATGCTCGAGGCCTCAGAATTAAGTCAGACCTCTGTTGTGCAAGTCTCCTCTTCTGGTGCCTGCAGGGAAGGCTAATAAATAATAAAGTAGGGTCATTAAACTTCAAGTAGTAGTTACCATTCCTTGTTTGTGAGAGATGTTTCAAGATCTGTCTTGGTAGGCAGATGCAAAAAAAAAAAAAAAAAAAAAAGGCAAGGCAACAGCTTGTCAGTGGGTTTATTTTGAAGAAGTTTGGAGTAAGAGATTAGCAAATGGCTGTCTGACTGACTGAGGTGGAGCTCCTTGTTCAGTTGATTTTATCAAGGTACAAGCAGTGCCACTCAGCGAGGAGCTGAGTGGTGTCAGGGTGAAAGGGAATACGTTTCTGCTTGTGGACAGGCAGCTGACCTGGACTGAGAACAGATAGGAGCTGTAATATATGACCAAAAAATGAACCTTGTATTATAATTAAAAAAAAACAAACAAACATCAGAAATAATTTAGTACAATATTTGCATGTTCTGGTAGTCAGTTTAAAAAAGACTTGGAGACATCTTGGCCAAAGAACATTTTTCCCATTAAAGTTATTCAGATCTTAATAAAAATTTCCTTAGATAGAAACAGTCAAAATGTTCAGACTATTGGTAAGTTGGTAGCCTGCACCGCTCTTCTGTTTGGTGTATTAAAGTACTTTTGATTTTCTGTCACTTTAAAACAAATAGATATGTGTATATATATCTTCAGCTAGGTAGAATGTCCAGAAGAAGCACACTCTTGAACTCGAGAGCAGAAATATTTCCGTTATTGGAATCATAGGTTTTGACAACTCTGAAATGTTTCTGAAAGAATCGTTAGCGTTGAAGCCCATCCCATTTTGTGAAAGCAGTTTTGGTGAAGGATGGGGTTTTTGTTTTAAAGGCTGGAATTGTGTATGTAATTGGAGTATGTTCAACCAGTCCTGACCTCCCAGTCTCAGCGGCAGAGTGAGTTTGATCATTTTTTTTTCCCCAGGGTAGAGAGAGAAAAGAGATCAGCTGTTCCCATTGCTCTGGTGGCTGGAGACTCTATCCCACATTCCTCAGCAATCTCTCTTCTTTTTTTTTTTTTTTCTGTAGAGATATTCAGCTCCCGTGTCTTTGGCAAGGGCTAAAATGCAGAGGAAGAGAAGAATAATTTGTCTATGACTTTGGCAACAAATAATTATATTACAGAAACAATTCAGATTTTACTAATGACATTTTACAAATTTCCCTGCATTAGTCCATTTTTAGAAGTCATCAGCCGTGATGTGACAGTGTCATAACAACACGACGAGATTGTACCAATTTAATTCTTTTAAATTAATTCCACTAAGCCCGTACAAATCTGTGGGTCACAGGAGACTATGACTTCTGATGGTTCCAGGAGCAAAGTTTGCTTTAGGTTAAACTCATACCTTCAGCCAACCTGAAAGAAAGTTTATCAAACTGAAGTAAAGGTTCATGCAACATTCCCTGGATTTTGTCCGAAAATAACTTGTTATTAGAAAAGTCCATTAAACCTGCGCAGATTCCTTGTGGAGTGAAGGCTGTGTTGTGCCAAATGCTTTTCAGCAGTGAAAGAAAGTGGGAGGTACAGTAAAAATTACTACTCACTTGGTGCCTGTCTGAGATTTGTTATATATTTTGATATGTGATTGATGAGCACGTTCGGCCAGACCATACCGGTTTCCTATCCCAGGTTTTATTGGAGTTGACACACTTTGATGAAAGGTTTGCTTTCAGCTATTTTGCTTTCTGAGGCAAATCATTGTCTTGGAAAATTTCTAGCTGAGTCGAGCTCTGCCCAGTGTTCTGTGCTTGTTATTCCCACCCAAGCCCTTGTTTAATCTGATTCTGCCTGTTCTTTTTATTGTTCTTTTTTTTTTTTTTTTCCCCAAATACAGAAAAATTGGCTGACCGTAAACTGAACGTGGCAGAAGTGACGCAATCTGAAATTGGTCAGAAACAGAAGTTGCAGACAGTCCTGGAAGCTGTCCATGATTTACTCCGACCCCACGGCTGGACAATCAAGTGGAACGTTGACTGTAAGGACTCTGTTATGCTTTCTGTCTCAGCTTCCCAGTCACGGAGGGTATGGTAATCAATAGGGAGGTCGTATTCTTGGTGAAGCAGTGTGGTTTTTACAATTATTTATTTGCACAGAGGGTGTTACGATGCCCACGTATGGATTGCAACGGGTTCCTTCATCTGTGGCCTTTGTTTAAGGACAGATGTACATGGCTGTGGGGTAGTGGAAGTAATTTGTTCCCTTAAGGGTATGCTTTCATTAGAAAGTTTTTTGTTTGCTTCCCGAATTTGAATACCTACGGATAAGAGAAACTCGTTCCTTGTTCAAGTAGTGGAAGGTGGTGGAATCCTTCAGGCCACCACAGTGAGAGCAGAAGGGCTCTGCGTCCCTCTGGGGGATGCAGCTGCCGACCTGAGCAGAAAGTGCCCTCAGTTCAAGTGACAAAGTGCCTGTTATCATCCAAAGGCCAGAATGGAATTTGGGAAGTACCTTCCTGTAGGTAGTAGGGGCGGTTCAGCTCTTGCAGCCAGGAAGGTTTGTGTTAGCACCGTGGGGGGCAGCGGAAGGCAAGTGATGGAGTCTGCCTGTCTTCATGGCCTGGGGAGGGAGCGGAAGCGTTTGGGCACCTGAGTTAGGCACGTAACTTTCCTGCCTTTTTTCCAGAGCTGTTCCTTTCAAGTAAGGCCTGAGTATTCCTCTATTTGTTTCGTTTCCCTTGTTCCCTACAGCAATCCATGGCAAGAATCTGATTTCCATTCTGCACCTTCTGGTAGCTTTGGCAATGCACTTCCGAGCTCCCATTCGACTGCCTGAACATGTGTCTGTACAAGTGGTAGTTGTACGGGTGAGTATGAACTCTTAAGAGGAACTGCTCAGAGCAGTCGTCATTTATCACACTGACTGTGCAGCCTGGGCTGCTCCCAGCCACTGCCCCCTGATCTCTTGTCACTTAGAAAGTTCTTGTGCCGGTATTTTTAGTGAGTCCCAGTCTTGGAAATGCGTTTTTGGTGTGCTTCAACGTGATCCTGAGAACATCACATCTTTAATACGTTTGGGACCACCGTTTGCTACGGCAGTATCAAGCCAAAAACACGTGATGGGACTTTTATATAAGAGAGAGTTGTGTCTGTCATTTCTGGCACTTTAGTAAATGTGTTTTGCCATGCGTTTTTTTGTAGAGAAGCCATTGAAACACAATCAGCCCAGAAAGGAGTTTCAGCACATAGAATTGCCCTGGTCTGGGAAGCCTCTTACTGATGTTGGTTTTCCCCAGTGACTTATTATGCGGACTCAGACGTGTTGTTTTCCTTGGCATGCTAATAGTCTGTCATCATTTCTTTCACAGCCGTGTGTTTTTGTTAGCTTTCCTTAAATATGGAGATCTGACCTGAGGAACCCTGACTTCTCCCCTCCCGCCCTAGATATTGCTCTAGTTAATCCTTTCCTTGCTTGGTGCTGACCATTCCCTTTCACTCTGCAAAGACTCTACTTTTGGCGCGTGTGTGCTCTTGCTTTTTAGCTCTCCTGCTCTCCCAGCTGTAGCTCCTGTGGCAGTACGGGCTGTGGCATGGGAGCCCAGGTTTTCGCAGCAGCTGTGAAGCACCAGGCAGAGCTGTTCCAGCTGGCTCTGCTCACGCCCTGGCTGTTGCTGTGGTGCTCAGCGCTGGTGCAGCGAGCGGGCTCGGCTGCTGGCAGCAGGCTGGGGAAGGGCTTTCTGTACGTGCCATTTACTGGTAGAGCTGTCAGGCCAGAAGGGGTTTCCTTTCAAGAATAAAGAAGGTAAAGCAATCTCAGACTCTTTTCCAAACGTAGATCCCCTTGTAAGATGCGATTGCGTGATGGTTGATTAGGCAAGCCTCGTTTTGCTCTACATTGAAATAACAGCATTTTCCAGGCTGTCTGCCTGAATGCTCTAGAGGTGCGGGGTGTGACGTAAATAAGGAATTGATGGATATGCCCTGGCTCACTCTAAATGTGTGTATTATCTTTAAGAGGTGATTTTGAACTGCTTTCAGGCTGCTGTAGTTCTTTCAGTTTAAGAACGGTGAGTTAGGTATAAAGTAACATGAACATAAATAGGAGACTGCTTTCTCTTTAAATTTCTTTTGACTGTCTTGGAGAGGTAAGGAGGAAAATGTAAATCTAAGGTGGTCAGCAGTCCTCTGACACCCTGATGCTAGAAACCTCCTTCTGCCCGGCACAGTGAAGTGTCTTCCCTAACTGACAAATAAAAAAAACCAACCCTTAGGTAAGTAAAGCTTCCCTTTCCTAGTCCTTAGGTCAAGCTTCAGGACCCTCCACCTCTGTGGCAGAGGGAAGGCTGTGGAGAAGGCGCTTTCACATCTTTTCCTGGTCGAGGGATGTAGAGAAGACCCCTACAGAGAGTGTCTGGTTCACCAGAGTCCCTGCTTCTGAGACTGGACAGGGTGAGAGAAAGGCTGACAGAAACTAGGGAAAGAGAGAGAGAGAGAAAGAGCAGCTCCATGTCCCCAGGGGAGTGCCGGAAGGTGTCAGAGCAAGGGTACAACGGGAGTTAATTTAAGCTCGAGAGGCTGTAAACTCTTGCTCTCAGGCCTAGAGCCTGGAGTCGTGGAGGTGGTTATGGCAGCTGCTGGCTGTGAGCCTGCTCCAGCTGCCCCGTGCAAGAAGAGGCTTGTTTCAGCCCCCCTGTCCCACTGCTAGGAAAACCATGCAACTCTTCAGCTTGGTTTATTTAAATGGAAAGCAAGGCACAGTATAAACTGGAGCACGTTTCTTCTGGAACAGTAACTTTTGCTTTATACTGTGGTAAATTGAATTTTTGTAGTTCAGCATCCATAACCTAGTCTAAAAATACATGCTGGTTCAGTAACAGATCTCTTTAAGTGGATTTTTTTTGGCCTTTGTTACACTAATGACAAACAGAAGAATGGTAATGAGGTTAATATTGTTCCTAATCCAAGTAAGAAAACTATTATTAAGAAGATTATTGTAATTATAATTATCAATTTATTGTGAAATGTTCTCTTATTACAGATCCCAATAATGATTAGGGTTCTGTCAAACTAGATCATAATTAAGATGAGATGTTTCCTCTCAGAGGTTTTAGTTTAAATGCCTCTTCGTGCTTGAATGTGCAGTTCAGAGGATTAATCCACTGTTTAAGCGACTTGGTAAGCTTTGCGGAGTTGACCCCACAGCAAGACAGCCTTGGAGGATGTTGTGGGAGTGTTGTGCAAGAGCACGCCTACTCTGAGCTTTACAAAACTGGGTAAGGCTCACTTCCACGGGGACTTTGGCGCTTGGGGTTATCGTTATCGGCTCTGCTGAGCCGTCCTCGCCCTGCGCAGATGCACCAGGTGGTTCTTGCCCAGAAGGGCTGTGTTTACACCACGAAAATTAGGAGTTGTGCAGGTTTAGCAAGTTACTTCTTAGCCAAGTTGTGTGTATTTCCATAGCCCGTCCCAGAGCAGTGCAGATACCTGTTAGCTTGTGTGAGTGGCATGTTCTTAAGGTTCACCGTGTTGGTTATTTTTCCAAGGCTCGGGAATTGCCATCTTTTGCACTTAGCTTCCTCGTTTTTAAAATTGCAGCATATCCCACCTTGGTGCTGCTGGGAGATCTGGGGTATTTTCACAGTAATTCCCTTGTAGTCTGAGCTGCAGATGGAAAGGTCAGAGGCAAGGCAGGCTGAAGAATAAATGTGTCTGGTGGCAGTGGTGCAAGGAATCAAAGTTTTACCAACGAATGACATTTGCTTTTGGATTGCAAGGCCGAGGGACCCAGGATTGCTGTGGGAACAGCATGCTCAGCTGCCTCGGGGGGAGCTCTGCAGAAATGGTGGCATTTCCACCTATTGGGCAGCCAGTGTTGGCACCCCTTCCTCCTGCTTACTGGGCCGTTGGAGGGGTTAGTCACTAGTCACCACTTACTGAGCTTTTGTTCACAGCTTAGAGCATCTTCTCCCTGGGGCAGGTGGTGCAGGGAGGTCCAGAAACCCGTGTTAATAAAGCAGAGACGTGGCGGGATGGAATAAAGACAACATTGGGTTTGTAGGCAAGAAAACACTGCCCTGTGTGATGCTTCCTCCTTCTGCCATCCGTGCTGTCATCAAGGCGTGTTTCTCCTGGTGCTATCCCTGCAGCTTTATTAACCCTGCTGGAAGACATTCTGACAGAGCTGCCTCCTGGACAGCTGCTGAGATCTGAGCTCTCTGTGTCAGCTTCTGAAGAGTTGAGAAGGGAGGAGAGAAATTCCTCCATTCAGGCATAAGGCTGTACCCCATGGTTTGGGGAGGGACCCCTAGAGGTGTTAAAGTTTTTGACTCGGGTAAAAGCACTCCCAGCCCTGAGAGGCACGTGCCACGTCTCCAAAACTCTGGAGAGGCTCAGAAACATTTGACCCCACCTGTGTCAGGGGGCTGTGTCTTAACAGAGGCGAGGAAGACGGTATCAAACTGTTCTGGAACTGAGTCTTGCTGCGTGCTGACTCTGTTGGGTAGGAGACTCCTCATTCGTGCAGATAATTATCCCAAGGAAAGAAAACCCAGTAACAGGGAAATACCATTCGTTGTGAAATCAGTAGCTGGGCTTTTTACGCTCCCCACGCTTTCTTGGTGGTGTGTTCCTGAGCTGCCTGTGGCTGGTGGCCTCAGTGACATGCCTGCTCTAGCAGAGCCCCTGTCCTGCCCACAGAGCTCTGGTGGCACAGGGAGCCCTGGCCGGGGGGCAGCCGGTCCCGTTATTCCAGTCCCAGCCCTCTCGGGGGAGCCGGGCTGCCAACTGTGTCAAACCCGTGATTGACACCGTGACACGGGCGGGTGCCCTGGGGTGCTGGAATTGGGGTGCCAGTTGGGTTCCAGTTGGTGTTCCAGGCACCATGGTGCCTCTGGTCTCAGGAGAAGAATTGTTAGTGAGTTTGCTGGCTGGAAAAAAAAAAAAAAAAAAAATATATATATATATATATATACACGTTTCCCAAACCTCCATTGGCTGCCAGCCTGCTGAATGCCCCTGTTTTGGGAGCCAGCCCTCCTGGGTCGGCTGTTTCACCTCTACCCCTACAAAACGTAGCGAGCACGCTTTATCCAGTTTTCTCCTGGGGTTCTGGACGATTCTGAAGGGTGCGGAGCCCTTCGAGAGCTTCTCCTTCTCCCGTCTCCCTGGGTTTCTAACTCCACGTTCCTTTCCAGAAGCGCGAAGGCCTCCTTCAGAGCACTCACGTGACAGAGGAGCTGACGACCACAACGGAGTAAGCACAAACGCTTCCCTGGGCGCGTCTGGGGTGCGTGGGGTGAGACCCTTTGCAAAGGCGAAAGGGAGGCTCAATCCTCCCCCCAGCCCTGCTAAATTAACAGAATCCCTTAATGCAGCTTTTTAAACTATAGACAAATAACCTGGTCCCTGGAAATACGTTACAAAGGAGAAAAGTGTCATCTTGACCTTCTTGTGTTACAGAAGCTTTTACCTGAATAACTCACTGAGAGTGACCTTTATGGGCCTTTTTTTTTTTTTTTTTTTCCCC